GGCAGTGGTACCAATCTAATATTAATGACAAAGCGCTGTAATATGAATGCACGTCTTTCCTCCTCTTGACCTGCCTTAATATGACACCTCGGAAAGAACAGCCTCACTGACATTTGGAAGGAAACTACTCAGTGCAGGTGCAGAACAGGATTCAGTAATTACTCCCTCTGTTACTGGAGGTTGCTTGCTAAAATGACCATGTGTTATTTAATTTATCAACTTGTATTATAACCAGGGCAGTTAAGATGAGTGCTGCATTGATTTAAGTCATAGTATGGACGGTGCTTGCTATAATCTTCCACCCACACACTGCTACAGTCCTTGTCCTCTTCTGTCTCCTTCCTGTTACAGCTCAGGATTAGAAATCAATCATTTAGAGTTGCATCAAACTGTTTGCTGGTGTTTTTTCCCCTCATTTATGTGAGGATTAGAGGAGATTTATAGAGAGATATAAGCGAACCAAGGATCACATGCCATATTAACTATGTGTGGAGAACTGATCATTTCTACTATCAAATTTTAAATCTAATATAACTCTCCCTTTGGAGAAAACAAAAATGCTGTTTATTAGATACTTATGACCCACCTGGCTTTAATATGACTGGAAGTACTTCCAACATCTATCTGTAGACTCTGTAGGAAAAGAACCATGTTAGTCTACGATAGCCAAAAATCAGACGTCTGGTAGCAACAAAATATGTTAGTTGGAAAAAGTGCTATCAGGCTCCTCCTGAGTTTTGGCTAAGTATCTACCTACTTACTACCTACCTACTTACCTACTATTATCTATCAGTTGTATTTGGGTCACTTGCGCAATTAAGCGGTTGGATTTTCTGAAATGGTTCAAGCAACCTACAACATTAAATGGCTTAAATAGCTCACAGTTTCCAGTGTAAAACCAATACAGCTTTAAGGGAAGGCCATATCTCAGCATCAGAGCTTCTACTTTGGATGCCAAAGATCCCAGATTCCATCCTTGCCATTTCCAAGAAGAACTGGGAAGAGTCAGTGTCAATCATGTTGAGTTAGACTGTCTAATTCAGGCTGATTGGCAGCTTCCATGTCTGCAAGATGAGAATCCAAGTGCGTATAAATGAACTTATGATCTATCCCTGAATGGGTCAGATTTGAAAACTTGTCATTTCTAATGTGCAATACCTATTGCTAAGAAGTATGCAATTAAAAAATGTTCCAATTCCTGTATATAGTTTTTGGCAACTTAATTCAGAAATGTTTGCATTGTGAAACTCTATGCCCAAAACCACACAGCATCAAATATTATTCTACTGCCTCCACCACAGCCAACCATTCAGCACCTGGAAATTACCGGGGGTTCCATCAAGCATATCTGATAGGTAGCTTTTCTGTAAGTATGGAAAACCAAATGAAATGTACAAAAGAGTGAACAGGGAAATGGGAACAAGAAAGAGGGTTCTTCTACAGCATTAAATAATATTAGCTAGGTTCCTTTAAAATCATTCATTTATAATATCTTAGTGAATCTAAATACTGTGATAAATGAGATCTAGGTCCTCCATAATCCAACGTCAGATGTGATCTTTAGAGTTGAAAATATTGCCTCCTTCTCAAGCCCATCACAGAAATTTCTAACATTTACTCTTCAGGAGCTATGTCACTACTTCTGTTTCATCTTTTTCTGGGATTGTTTAAGAAATTGTAGGGTGGGTGTGATTGTGACAAATCTGTATTAGACAAGGAAACAAATAGGAGACATTTGGCATTCTCTTGCATTTTCTTATTTTAAAAAATGCAAATTCATGATTTGTTTTGCCAGTAAAGTTCTCCTTAGAAATATGAAAATAGAACAGGAACAACTATTCAAGCTATTGGGGCTGTCAAAAATGCTTAAATATGGATTCTTCATGGAGCAGGAATTCTTGGCTCAATGGCTTAAGTGGCTCCTTCCAGTTCTGTGTTTCCAATATTCTATATCTTGTTTTTGCCTGTTTTACAATCCTTATTAAATAGTTTTAATTGTTTTTGTAAGTATTTTAAGCATTATCTGCTTTTTAATCTTGTTTATGTCTTATGAATTTAAGTACAAGTGCATGAGAAAAGTGAAACAGAAATCTATAAATAAACATACAAATAAAAATTACAAAAATGTCAGTCTCTAGTAATCTATAGTGCCAAAATTAACATAGGTGAGCATCCTTTGGGGATGCTGCTCAGGTAATGGATCCTACAAATAATCCACTAGCAAGATACAGCACCTGTAGAATATTTGAAATCAAAATTCAGATTTCAAATGTGAAAGAAAAAAATGTGTTGGATTACTGGTATTTTAATCTAGCCAGCATCCTTCCTGGTAGGAGGAGTGGCAGGAGAGAAAAAGAGGGAGAAGGAAAGGGAGATGGGAGTGGTGTCAACAGAAAAGGTTGAGAAAGAAGGAACGTTTCTTGGGCTTGGACCACTCAGGCTATTATTAAGCCAAAACTACCATATTTAAGGCCCATTAATTTCCACAAGACTGTTAAGTGTCTGTCTCTTTCCCATTGAAATAAATGGGACTTAATAGTAGCCTGACCACACTCATAAATCTTCTGATTGTAGGTTCTCAGACTTACGAATGCTGACCACCTCTGGCCTAAAGATTGTTTTTACCACAGAAAATTTAGAATAGTCAGCCTGAATTTATTTCAGAATTTAGCTCCCTACGCGCAGCCTCATAAGCAGGTGTAACGTTTCTGTTATTTATTTGACTGGAAGGCTACCAGCCTGACTCCCACGGCCCAGATAACTCTGACTGCTTCCAATCTGGTATCACGCTCTGGTCAAATGTTTCTAGCCAAACGTTTTGTCTCCTCTCGCCTAAGAATAGAGAGATAGCAGAGCTGAATCAGCTGCCAGTCTCCTCTGTAAATATGTCATAAAGCAGACTGCCCTTGTTAGACTTGGCCATTATGTGTTGACTAAAGAGGTGGACCAGCATAGGGAAATCATAAATAAAGAATGAGGCATACTTGTCCTGGATGGGATTTTTTTCCAGCTTACTCAAATATGAGTTCCCTGGCTCTTTTTGGCACCTGCTAGGGCAGGACTAGCCAGAGTAAAGTCAAAGTCTGCTACAGCACTTCATTCATTTGCATCACTCGAATGTTATGCATACTTTATTTTTTTTTTCACTCACCTTAGGACAGGGGGAGAGGGGGGGTAAGCAGGTAGGGAGATCATATCGTAAGCAGGTCCAGAAGATAACCTTTCTACTATTTATTCAAATGTGAACAAGAATACAGAACGATTCTGCTGCCCCAAAAGATCTTTCAATGTTCTATAACTATTTATAACTAAAAAGAGTTACAAAATATTAAAAGCTCTTCACATCTGAAGTTAGGAACATCCATCCTCTAAATACACACTCAAATTGTGCTTTCATGGATGTCCTGAATATTGGGGGGGGGGGGAGACGAGAAAAACACCAATATAGGATGTAATTGTAATTTGCATGCCTAGTGTGCATCTATGCAGCACACCTGCTTCTTTCTTCTCTGAATGCTTTGTTGCACGCAGTAATATTTCATAACTGAAATACAGTACAACTTTAACAATGAATTACTGGGGGGGGGGCAACACCACCTTTTCCTTAAATTTAACAGCTTCACATGATGTGCCAGGAACAGGGCTTCATGGAATAGGAACCTTGGAGGCTGCCTAATCCAGCATCAGAACTTTGGTCTCCCTACCTCAGTATTTTCCACCCTGAAGGGCAGCAGTACTCGAGGGGATTGGACTGGTCTTTCCCTGCCAAATTTGGGATTAAAGCTGAAATCTGATGCGCACACAGACTAAATCTGAGACGGACTGCATTCAAATAAGAGGATATGCTACTGAAATATTGGTCTTCCCTTCATCTTGAAAACGTAGGTGAGCCTTTTGTAAAGAGTAATTGTGAAGTCTGTGGCATGAGTCTTCTACCATAAGTATGACTAAATATGGCTATATATAGTCAGGGTTTGAAGCTCACTTGACTTTCACATTGTTGATCAGCCACTGGTTTCATCAGTGAACAAGATAACATTACTTGGATTTTATCCTGCACAAGTCTTCTTGGGACTGCATGTTTAGCCCTGAAAGTGCAGATTTTGTACCTAGCTGCACATTTAAGAAGGCCGCATCAGGTAGGAGAACGGGTCTATCACTTCAGGCTGTTTGGGCACTAAGGACAGGCTGGGAAGCAGGTCAACAAAGAACCATAGACCTGACCTCCTTCTTCAACTGGTAAATTTAAAATCCAATTTGGTTCTTTCCAGGACAAAAAAAATCCTCAAGAGATGAAATCTGAAGAACTTGTTCAGTTCCTAAAAAAAAAAAAAAAATTGCCTGATCTTAATCATCAGCTGGATGAAGTAAAAGAGATGGATGTTTAATCCAGATGAGTTGGAAGTGCTCCTCCTAGGATAAGTTGCCATTATTAGCTTGATAAAACCCGATAAGAATGAGCAAAAAAAATCCATAAAAACTTTGGCTCAAGGTTCAGGACTCATTACATTCTGGAATGGTAGCTAGGCCTAACAGGTGAGTAGGAGCACCTACTCTCACTCCTGGATCTTTAAGGAGGAGCTATAGCAAGGCCTATGTCTGCACAAGAATATTTATTGCACTAACTGCAACTGTATTTGAGTAGGCATTCTCTGCCAACAGTAATCCATGCCTTAGTTACTTCATATTTAGTCTTTTCTAGTGTACCCAAATGGATATATCTTTGAAGAACATCTGGCTGCTTCAAGCAGTGCAACATTCAGCAGCTAGGTTTCTAACTGATGTGCAAAATTGTGACCATAATCACTCCAATGTTGGAAGTTGAAAATTGCTTGCCTATTCTTTTTCAGGCTTAGTTCAACACTGGAAGCTTTAAATAGTTTATTGCTTGGCAATCTGGTCATTTGATTGGTTATGAATCTAGCTAGCTATTAAAACCTGCAGGAGAGGCCTGGGTACAGAGTCCTGCTCACTGGGTTAGTTGCATCATTCTGAAACTGTACAAGGTTTTGCTTCCAGATCTACATCTCCACTCGCTCTGCCTATTAGAAAGGAGTAAGTGCACATACTTTCAATTTCATCTTTCAAAATGTTTAGCTCTAGATTTTAAAGGTTATTTGAATACTGGAGCATTGAATTGTAATGTGCAGCCATCAGTACTGCTTTTATATGTTTTAAAATTTCACTGTAAACAGCTTTGATGACATTTCTCAAAAGATTATAATAATCAATCTATCGGAAACTAACAAATATGCCAAAAATGTGAAAAGGCATGATAAATGTGGTAGGATTGGGGTAGAATAGGGCACTATCTAGATTACATTCAGATCAAAAGCAAATTTTCCATTTATTTTTGTGGTTACAGATTACAAACTGGGAGGCTGAGTGCAACTGCAGCCTGTCTTAATGTTCAGAGGAAGGAGGCGATACTGGAATAACACTATGAAAAGAGAGTTTCTTATTCACCCTTATCAGCAACTAATTTTGAAAGATTTTTATTTTTATTTATTTATATATCAAATTTGTCACCGCCCATCTCATTAAAAAGTGAGGTTTTTTTTAAGATCATTTTTAAGCAGGCACATTCTTCTACATGCCCTGTGCCAGTTTCTATAGGCACAGCTGTCATTCAAAGCATTGGTCTGTATTGTTTTGGATCATCAGTGGAGGAAGATTCCTCTTAAACGGCCAGATTTAATACAAAGGCCTACAATGTGGGCTACATCAAGCTGTTTAAACTTTGTAGATAGGAGAGGCCTGGCTGGGAACACTCTTCCGCAAATGCCTTTGACTTGTGACAGTAGCCTACAGTCCAGTGATCTAATTCTGCCGGGAAGTATCTAATGCTGTGATGTAATGCTCCATGCTAATTCAGAACTCTGTCTACCCAAGAGATATTTATTCTAGGGTCTCTCAAGCTTGGATCACAACACAGACTGGCTGTGTAATGCACTCAACCTTTCTTACATCATACTGTAGGATGCATTACTTTAGCTGCGAAAAACAAAGGATAAACTTAATTACCTCTGTGCTAAGTTACCTTAAAGACAAATATGTGTGCGTGTGACTGTGTGAATCTAAAGTCAGACTTCAGTACTGGAATTCCTGAAATTGCCCACATTTAATCGAAGGACAAATCTGTTCCCCTCTCCCATTTTATGATAAGAAAAATGTGTTTGGCTCCTTCCAGCCATCTATCCCTCCCCCTATATTAACTGAGCCTAAACACAGCTCAGTAGCTCCTATAATAGCAGCTTTTTCTTCCATTGCTATCGTATTTCCTCCAAATGTTAATTAAAAGTGAGCATAAGAGAGTAATCCAATATGATCCCCATAGCAAACTTCAGCAGTTGAGCAAACAGACCTGCTCACTATTGGGGAAAGGACATGCAGATTAATTAGCTCTGGAACTGATCTTCGTTTAAAATAGAATAATTTGATTGTTTGATAACTAACCCTTCCCCTTGGCCAGGAGGCACTTTTATTTTCCATTCTTTGCTAAGCTGTCAGAGAGGAAGAACCAGGAACTAACTTTACCATGTTTTAACAAGCAACATAAACCCATCAAGCAAGTGATAGAAACACATAATGAAGGGATAAAAGCCAAAACATAAAGAGCAAAAGGCTTACCTGTTCCCTCCATTACTGCTAAATAAAAATTCACTTCTTTTTAGTGAAGGAAGTGTCACTGACCAACCAAACTGAAGTATGGAGGTGTTGCCATTCACTGTTTCTTTCAACTTCCACATTAACCCCAAAGGAAGATGCTTCTAAATTTAAAATGATCCTTCCATTATAAAAAGATGGGGGGGGGGGGAAAGTTCACCATGACGTTTCATAGAAGAAGAAGGCTGCAAGTTAAGATAGTACCTGCAGCAGTTGGCTATTCCCAAGGCTGAGGGTCAGAGATATGCATTTAATTGGTTTATAGAGCATAAACGTGGTGGCTTAAGGGGCCAAGAATATATTTGGACATGTAGGAGAGGCAGGTGAAGACAGGGTTAGGGTTAGGGTTAGGGTTAGGTATAGATAGATTGGGATTAAAAAGCAGGAAGAAGCCAGGAGGAAGGTTGAAAGTAATCAAGGTGAGTGTGGAGAAGAACTGGGCAGATTGAGCAAACCCAGAAGGCAAATTGAGAAGAGCGGAGAACAACAGAAAGGCCAACGCAAAGGATGATCTGGAAGATTGGATGGAAGAGAACCTTGCAGCAGAGCAGGGACAGAGGTGAACATCTGGGCTTCTAGGTTGCCATGGTACCAGAGTGTGAGCAGGCAGTCTGGCAGCCACCTCTGGAACTTGTACCAGGAGATGAGCAATGATGAGAGACTGCCCTGGCCTTGGAAGAGGAGAGAACTGGAGAGCCCGGTAGATGTAGGGCCACTGTGAGAAGCAGGGAGCAGTATTTGTTGCCTTGGTTGCTGCTGCTGCTGAAATGTACGGTGGAGTGGCTGTTAGCTCAGCCACCTCTGGGTTAGATCCATGTCCTCTGTGGGTGGGCAATACCGCTCAGGAGTGGACATGTGGCTAGGGCCTGGCAGAGGTTAACTCCTGTTTAAGGAAGGGGGTGGTCCTGCCATCTCTTAAGGAGGGGTTTTATTATTTTAATATTGCTAACCACCCAGAGTCATGTATTTCAGATGGGCAGCCATATCAATGTAATAAATAAATAAGATGGGAGAATTGATTGATGTCAGCCCTTTGAGGTAGGCCAGGTCAAGAACCAAACCTGGCAGGGATTCCGGGAATGCTTTTTATTGTAATATGGTAAAATAACCAGATCTTGAAAGCTTGTCCAAGCTTCTCTCTATCCCATTTTGTATTAAAGAAAAGGCAAGGTTATTCTGAAGTTTTTTCTCCTATTTTCCTCTTTCTCAGTACTGTGCAGGTCCCCCTTGAATGGTTCATTTATTCCTTCTTTATGCCCCAGGTCAACTCTATGCTCCTTTTCCACAGGGCTGACCCATCCACTTCATAGCTTTGCTTCATATTTACTTACAATAAAGGCAGACACAGGAAGCCCTACAGAGCATATAGGTAGTCCTCATTTAGTGACCACAATTGGGACTGGCAACTCGGTGGTTAAGTGAGGCGGTCACTAAGTGAAACCAGGACTGTGCTTACGATCTTACTTCAGCTTTCCTTTGCTTTACAGACCTGTGAAGGTTGAACATGCAAGGATTGGCCGCAAAGTTACTCTTTCATCACCGTTGTAACTGTAAATAGTCACTAAAGGAGGCAGTCACTAAATAAGGACTACCTGTATAATTTGAAAAAGGGATTAGAGAAAGTAAGGGAAATTCAGATAGACCTCTCCCTTCGTGGTATGTCTTGTTTCCTAAAAATATATCTTGGAAAAATTAAGAGCATGGCCTCGGGGGTTAATGTTAGCACACTCTCCCAAGGTTTTAGGGGCTTTATATAGAAGAAGTAGACAAGACTCCAGTGTAATGAATTGAGAACAGGCAATGGATACTCTAAATATCTGCTTCCAATACTTTGTGCTAGCTATGTGCTTCCCACACATCATAGCACCCTATATGAGCTCTTAACCTATTCTCTGTGGACCTGCCTTCTTTAGAACATCATTGATAAACATGGTTGTGCCAATAAAGTAGCACTGATTCACCCATACATGGTGAATCATCTCACAATGCCATAAGTTGTTTATGACTTTCTGCCGCAAATTCCTAATCTCGTATGCTTATTTCCCAGAATGGCACCAAATAGGATTAGACCATATGTCAACATGCTGTGTTTTCACATTATGTGGAAAGATTTTCTCACATTATTCTAGCATGAGCAGGTGTACCAGCTGTTTCTAAATGTACAAGAACAGATATTTAAACATCTTGCTGACTGTTTTGCAGAATCACCCGGGGAGTATTTCCATATTTCATAAAACTATCAAGCAAATGACATATCTTTCTGTGTAATGATTTTGATATAAGTTTTCTTCTGAGAAAATCCAAAGGTTACTTTGGGGAGTATGGTGTCTTAGGAAAAGAGAGAGAGAGAAATCTTATATCAATTTAAAAAGTATGTGCAGATGATTTCAACATAATGTTTGTGCCTCTACTAACAAAAAATATATCCATTCAAGATTTTCAGGAGCCCCTGACAAACAAGTCCAAGAGTTGATTTCTTTAACCAGAAGTAAGATGGAAGATGGGGTGTGCAAGCAGGAAAAAAAGTGAGTCTTTTCACCAGATTTTATAAATGCCAGACAGAATGTTTGCTAAAGGATTACCGATAAAGCCATCATCTATTTCACTTGAGAACAATCACAAACCTAATTGAGATTAAGGTAAAAACCAGATTAAGTGGCAGCTTTGTATGAAGGCTTAATTGAGGTTCCACTAACCTCTTTGACCCATCTCTTTGTGATTCCAAGGTCCATCAGCTGCCTTGCCATATTGTAGAGAGATCATGGAAGAATATTTCAGATTTTACACAACATGCAAAAGGGGGTTGGAACAAAATTATTTAAAAGAAGCCTCAATGCCTGATTTTCAGTAAATGTGGTGGTCTTATTTCTGTCAGTAGAGTTAAATGGTATCATAAATGAATATCTGTATAGTTCAGTCATAGCTGTGCTGTTAATATTATTACTTACATTTTTGTAACCCATCCAGAGCTATTTAGGAATGGCTAGTGTATACATTTGTAAAATAAAATAACAATAAAGAAGGCAACGAAAATTGCCTACTTATCCACCACAGGATTCTGTGAAGTAGAGCCTACATTCTCTTCATAGAGTGATTGAGTATGTGGATGAGAGAGCAAAGTAACATGTTCCTATCGGAGTACCATGCAGTCTTAAGGAATCCTAATTCCCCAGGACTCCATTTTGCATATTTTTAGAGTGGTGAGCAGCTATCACCAAAGATTCTCTAAATATACTGCTATTCTTGCTTAAATCACAGGCCTAGGCACTCCCTTGGCCAGTCTTGTATTTATAGCCCAATCTATGTTATCTTTGGACTGTGCTTAACCAAACGGAAGCTGAGAAAATGAAGAGTTTGCTTTGATGCAGAGTTCTATATTTATTTTATTCTTGGGGACAAATGTAATCTTTTCCGACTATTATCAGGTTCTGAAGATTTTTTTTTTCTTAAAATAAAATTTTTAAAAAAACTCAAACACACAAGAAAGGTTTTCTGTAGATGATATCTAATTAACTCGTAACTTTAAATAGAACAGAAATATGTTTCACAATCTACTTTTTTCTCAGTAGAAATCTTTTACAGCATATAAAGATGAGGCTGTCCATTTTCTTTTGCTGATGTGATAAGAAGCATTTGGTTTAGGGACTTTTGGTCATGGATACATTAAAGGTACAACTATGTATTATGTCCCTTAAAAATTTAAGTAACCTATGTTTTACTTCCATTTATGCTGAAATAAAACATTAGTCATGTTTCACATTCGGCACCCTGGTCAGATCTCCAGGCGCATGCCATATGAGATATGATAATGCTGTATTATTATAGCACCAACTATATAAAAAGATACAATCACACTGAAAATATATTTATTTGTTCTATGAAACATTTGCCCACATCATTCCATGTTTTTGGTGCTCTGGATTTGGTAAAAGGGAATGGAAAATAAATATTGGATTCGCTGCTTGATATTTATTGACACATTTTAGGGGATGCGGTGGTGTAGCGGCTTAATGACGCTGAAAGTTGCCAGCCAGAAATGGTCGACACTTCAGCG